TTACAAAGCTAATCCCTAGCACTTAAGAAGTTCTCCACGCCTTCTTCAAGCCTAGTTGTCACCCGGGATGCAGTCCTGCTTCCTGATGACTGGTCCTTTCACTCAGCTTCCCGGAAGTATCACCACTTCACTGCTGCAGTTACTTGGACGCCCTTCTTTGCAGAAGATGTTTTGAAAACAGAGTTTTCTCCAACTTGCTTCGTTACAGAAGATATGTAGATGAAGATCTTGAAGTGTTGAAGAACAAGATGAACTTTGCTCGTTGTTGGGGATGAAAGATTTGGAGTTTGAATCTTCCCAACGTAGGACTTTTCTTGTAGAGTGTTATGAAGGTTGAATCTCAAGAAGTATGTTCAGAGTAATGAATGGAGCAAAAGTTATCTTCCTTGTTCTTCTTCGTGTAGCTTATATACTGAGGTTGTCTGCCCGTTGGAGGAGGAGACAACTGCATTAAATGCGCGTACTGTTGACTTGACCGCCGTTTTGGAAGGTTTCTATTTTTATAATATATCTTCCCGGATTCCTTGGTCAATCATTTGCAATCAATCCTTCAGCGTATCAGGCTTATTTAATGTGCATTAAATGCTTTCCTTTCATGCACGGTCTTCTAGCCGTTGGATGTTTTTACCCGTTGGATTTATAGCTGTTGGATGTTGCTTGAAATCTACTAAGTGTTAGTCGGGCTCTGATCAGGCTCTTCTGATGTGTTGGATTCTGATGGCTTTCTGAGTTCTGATGGCTTTCTGATGTCTGACTGAACTCTATCTCTGACTCTGATAGGTCCGCTGATGAGTACCTCTGATCTGTAACTCTCATCGGTTATCAGATGTCCAAGTTTATCAGCAACTCTCATGGTGCAACTCTGATGGACTTCTGATAAGAGAACTCTGATGGAGCAGTTCTCATAGAGCAAGTCTGGTCGAGCAATTCTGATGCACTTCTGATCTGATCCAAAACAAAGCAACTCTGATCGTCGACTACACTAATACTTACAGTTGAAAATTCTAATACATAAAATCTAATTGGGGGTACTTTACAATTCTAATCTAAACATCCTAGCATCATCAAAATCTAATTACATTTATTCCTTACAATTTCCCCCTTTTTGATGATGCCAAAACCCTTAAACTATTTCCAGAGAAGTGCCTTTCACCATAAGGAAAATAAGTTAAACAATAAACTTCCATTTAGAATCTTGGTGGGCACTTGGCATAGGAAAATAGTAAGAGTAAGATACAATCAATCAGATAAGCAAAATAAGAAATAACACAAGGTATCAGAGCAAGAGACAATCAGAGTGCAAGTAGAGAAAGAATTTGAAAATGCCATGCAAAATAGAGGCAAGCTGGTTATTTCATTAAACAGACAAATACATATAAGAGATGCAAAAGAGAGAGTTTAGATATCTTCCTCTTCTAGTTCAGCTTCCTTTGCTTCAATTTCTTTCAGATCAGCATTTACCTTTGCTCTGATGGAGGCCAAGTTCCTTGGGTTCTGACACTCTGACCAGGCAGGTTCAAGCTTGCAATCTAGATAGTTTCTGATGGCTTCTGATAGGTCCTTGCCAGGGATCACTTTCATTCGCCACCAGTCTTCTGCTTCTTGCATGGAGCCACCATGGTTAATGATTATCAGCCCATCTTTATCTAGAATCAGATTCTCCTTTTGATGGGGAGTCATGTGTTTCTTCATTTCTTGGAACTGGGCTGCATCAGGCTTGGCTAGGTCACTGTTGAGCCATTGAGCCAGAGTGAGTGAGGGGGTTTTCTTCTTTCCTTTCTTGGAGCGAGGAGGGGTTGGTCTCTGAATACCAGCAGCAATCTGCTTCTGCCTGGTCTTCTCAAAGTATATAGTAGGATCAGGGGTACTAGAGATGGGAGTCAGAGCTCTGGCGCTAGGAGCTTCTGCAGTTCTGATAGCTATTGCAGAATTTCTGGTATCTTCCCCCTTTTTGGCATCAGCAAGATCACCAAGTAGGAGTCCGATTTTTGAGAATTCTGTTGCTTGGTTCTCCTTAATGACTTCAAGGGCACTTGGCAGAGTCTGGGTTACAGAGGCCGGACCCTCAATGATCTCCTTCTGTTTAGTGACTGCAGACTGAATATCTTTCGTTGTAGCTTCAAGGAGAGTCAGTTTGTGATCTCTGTCCTTTCCACTATTAGTGAGCTTGATGGCAAATTCTTTATTGTCCTTGCACAGTCCTTCAACAGCTTGAATCTCTTCACGAGCCTTGTCAGAGGACCACTGGAGATCATCAATGGAGTCAGAGATGTCTTTGATGGCCTTATCCTGTTCTTCAATGGCCTTGGAGTGATGAAAGAGGACAGCATTGATTCCATCCACTTCCTTAGCAATGTTTCCCAGACTCTCTGCAGTTTTGTCCTTGTGCTGTTCAAATGCCATAGCAATGATGCCTACATTCTTGAGCAGCACATTAATCCCTTCTGCTAGCTTTTCACTATAGGTGGTGAGATGGTTGTCAGTGGTATACTCAGCATCCAGTATCTTGTTCATACCCTTGACAAGCTGGAGTCCCACGTGCTCTATTTCAGCCATGAAGCTTTGAGGAGCCTGACTGGTGGCTAGAACTTGATCAGATTTGGGAGGGGATTGAGGAGGAGCCTGAGGGGACGGCTCTGATGATGAAATCTGAATAGGAGTTTGCTGGGGTGAGGATAGTGGTTGAGAGGGTGGTTGTTTTGGAGATGGTGGAGGTGATGGTGAACGGTTTCTGATAGGGGTGAGGGGTTTACATGGTGAAGGGGTTGGGGTTCTGTGAGGAGAGGGGGATTTCTGATGGATTGGAGATGGGGTTTTCTTGGGTGATGGAGTGGGTGAATGTGATGGAGGTTGAGGTGAAGGTGTTGGAGTGTAATTAGGTGTTGTGGGCTTGGGAGATGGAGATTTGGAAGGTGAGGTATGGGGTTCTGGTGCAATATGAAGAGGTGGAGATGGAGAGTTAGGAATTACCTCAAGAACTGTTTCTTCAAACTGAGAGTCTCGCCATTCTCTGATCAGATTCATCATGGCCAGAGACACATCATTTGCAGTAGAGGGTTCACCTTCTGCACCTGGAATAGGTTTCATCTTGATTAATGATTCCCTCCTCTTCTTTTCTAAGAGCCATTCTTCAAAGTGTGGAATCTCATTCTCGGTTAGGGGTTTGACATGCTCTTCTGATGATGAATCACTCATCTTCTCCTTCCCTTTGAGATTCCCCTTCTTCTGCTCCATTACAGAGTGTAGAAATTGAAGGTCGAAGCAGAGAGAGATGTCAGCTACACCTGCCCACTTGAGGACTTCTTCTTCCTCTGATTCAAAAAAGGCAGCTTGGGCAAGTATCTGTTGCAGAAGTCCCATCCTCCATTTCCTCCAGGTGAGCACCCTTTGGAATTGCCTTTCTCGAGCTGGGATGGGATCCATCTCTGGAACTTGCGTGGTAGGATGCTCTGATGGGGATATGGTGATGTGCAGATCTGGTGCAGATAAAGGTTGGACCTCTGACTCAGGTTCCCCCTGAGCATCAGAGATTACTAGTGCAGTAGCCAGCTCTGGTGCAGGTTCCCCCTGAGGTTCTGACTCCTTGGGGGGTGAGCTGATTTTTTTCTTCTTCTTCTTCTTCTGCACTCTGATAGGAGATTTTGAGCTATCAGAGTCACTCTGAATTACAGCTCTTCTTCTCCTCTTCTGTCTCAATTTTTTGACAGGGGCCACAGCTGGTGCATCCTCCTCTGACGCATCAACCTCAAGTGCAGGTTCCTCTGATGTTGTGTTCTTGGGTGCAGCTTTAGGTTTTTCAACCTGTTTCCCCCTGTTCTGCTCAAGTTTGCTTACCTTCTTCAGCTCCGCAGCAACAGCCACATGCATTTTGGGAGATGATGTGAGGAAGATGGTTTTCATGTGGTTGACTTCAGCAGATCCACGGAGTTCAATCTGGGCGTTAGTGATGAGTCTGGAGATGAGAAGTCCATGGCCCATCTTAGTAGAGAATCTCCCAGTCTCAGCATCCTTCTTCTCAATGCATTCAGAAATAGACTTGAAAAGAACTTGACCCCAGTTGATATTCATGCCACGATGAACTGCATAGATAGCTTTGGCATTTGCATTGTTCATCTGGTCAGTTGAACAGGTTTTGCACCACAGACACCTGTGCATGATGCTCATTAGGCGCTCATAGTCCTTCTTGAGCTGGTTCTTCTTCATGTACAGCCTATCTATTCCAGTTGCATTATCCCGGCAGTAGGTCTGCACAAATGTGGTGACTGAGATGTCCACATCATCAAGTTCAATGAGATTGGGGGTGTCCTCATCCTGAGAGTCCAGTTGAATGTTGAAGAACTCGTTAAGGGCAGCAGCATCTATCTTCAGGTCCTTGCCCTGAACCTTGGAGAAGATGGCGTTGTTGGAGATGTAGGCGTTGAGGTAGAACTCAGCCACATCCAGATTGCTGAAGTGCACATAGGGGTGAGCTACAATCTTTGTCAGCTGAGAGTCATTCATCCCTTCAATGATTCTCCGCATGATTTTGCTGTTCTCTGCTAGCAGCGGCAGAGATGACATGTCAACTTTCATGCCGGTGACGATATTGGTCATTAGAGACTTGGCTTCAGCTTCAGAAAGATCAGTGATGTTGATGAACTTCATTTTGAGTAGGGATTGAGGAATTTTTGAGATATTGAGGGTTTGAGAGTTTTGAGAGCTTGAATACTAAGAGAGATGAGATGCAATGGCGGTTTAGGTTTACAGACTGAGTATATATGAGTTCGGGTTAGTGGACGTTTGATATAATTTGCGGTTTCGAGGTCGCATTTAATGGAATGCGGGCGGAAAGCCGTTTTCCAAAAATGGTAATAACTTCCGGGGGTAATGTCACGCCCCAGACCGCATCTGAGCGCGTGTACAACCGCCGTATGACTAAATGACGTCACCCGCGAGTCAACGTGACTTAGTCAAACAAGGCGTCCATGAACATAGTCCATACCATACTCAGTAAGTAAACATACATAACAACATCACACAATACGATTGAACGAATAGCGGAAATATTCAATATTCAATCATGGGCCACACATGGCCAAAACGTAGGCACGCAGGCCCAAAACAAATGTATTTATTACAAAAATATCCATGAGCAAGTTTGTAGTTTAAAACATTAAAGGAAGCACGAACCACGTCTCCCTTTGGATCACTTCACCGAGCAAGGTGAGAATAGCAACTTGAGCTTCAACCTGAAATGGTGGGGCCCCCCGAAGGGGTCAGTACAAGTACCGAGCGAGTAGCAGGCTAAATGTAGAATAACTAACGTTTCAAGTATAAGACCCAAACATAGGGTGATACATATACGTATAGTCCTTCCCCCAAGTTTTGAGATACATATTAGTATATATACACTTGGAAATACCCGACCCGTAGGTCATTGTTTATTTGGGAAAATAATAGAAGCCAATGTCCTTGACTTAAATCCCAACCCACCCATATACCTATGAGTGTATAGAACTCCTCCTTGTTCAAGTAAATTATCATAAGGACACCGCCCTGTTAGTCTCCAATTTTGATAGATTTTGATGATGCCACTATACTAAACAAATTTACATTGAGTCTTATTTTCAGAAGTAACATTTAAATTTAAATCATAAGTGACAAAAATAAATGTACAATCTTTAAGATTAATGATATATAACCGGATACATAAAAATGCAATAAGGTATCTTTTTACCTTCATAGGATATTTAAATCCTACCGGCATATATCATTTTACTTAAAGATTAAATATAGGTCACATTTGAGATGCTCGAATACACTAAATATTGATTGGAAAACAAAAATTAAATACACGGTCCTACAGCATGGAAGGACCTCTTGGAGTGAAGCTGCAGCGGCTGAAGACACACCCATACCGCAGCCCAATCATTCAAGACAGAAAACAAAAATATTCAAAGCTCCTGCATAAGAAGACAAATGTACAATTCGTCCTTGCCAGACCCTCAACGCACAAGATTAATCCATCTCAACCAACGGATGAGATTGATCAACCATGAAGGCCTATAAATATAGGTAGAAGCATGAGTTCAAAATAAGCTTGAGCATCCTAAGTAGAAGAATACCTTCATCAAAAACATATTCGAGCTATCTAGCAAAAGAGAAAGTGCAAAACTCAACTTTACTCTCTGCTTAGCCTCATGCTTCACTAAGCTCTTAGATTAGATCAACACTTTCATATTTTTAGAGCTTAGTTCATAGTTGGAGATTAGAACTTTCTTGTAATATTTCACAAGTGGTTGTAAACACTTAGGAGAACAGTTGTTCGAATCCTAAAGTGTAGTTAGATAGATAGAGTACCTTTTGATCCCCACTGGATCGATTGAGAAAAGTCTAAGGACTGAGTAACTTTGAGTGGTGTTATACTCATTGTGAAAAACCTTCAATCTAGGCCTAAGTGTTGTAAAGGCTAGATTGGCACTAAGTGTATTGGGCTGAATACTTTAGTGAAATCCATCTGAAAGAGGGTGGGACTGGATGTAGGAGGATTACACCACCTCTGAACCAGGATACATCGTGTGTTGATTCTCCTTTACTCACCACAGCACACACCCAATACTTCTCACTAAAGGGATCGTAGTTTGCCAGCAGCATCCTAAGCAGTCGTCTTAATTGACTCTACTGCTTATCCTACTGCTTAATAACTCACTTTTCCTTGAGACTTCTGTTTCCCACAAGCTTTACATATCACTACTAAAAGGTGTGATTGGTCAGTCCTCAAAGATACTTCTTTATAAGCAGCAGACGGCTTAGCAGTTTCCTGGGATTACCCAACTGCTCAGACCACTGCTCAGGCAAAACTCTTTACTACCTTCAGCTCAACATATATTCAGAAAGCCCTCATCATTCTCTGCAAGGCCATATTATCATCTTTCTCAAACTTCTATTTTCAACTGGCAGTTGCCTCAGCAGTTCCTTGCCATCTAGCTAACTGCCAAGCCAACTGCTCACAGTTTGAAGTCCAAACATCATTGAAGGTAGAAAGTTGTCACACACTCATTAGAAAAAGGGTAAAGACTTCCGCTGTGCATCTATTAATCTCTCAAAAGATTATAGATCAATTCATCTAGAGGTAAAACTTGAAAAAGGTGAAAAAGATTTAAAAGTCTATTCACCCCCCCCCTCTAGACTTTTACCCTATCCAGGACCATCAAGTGGTATCAGAGCCAGGTGTTCCTAGAGTCAGTTTTTGACTAATTTGAACTAAAGATCCAAACCACTCTACTTCCAAACGCTGTCTAGAAATGGACAGTCAGTTAGCCAAAAATCTTCTATTCAACTTGAACAAATTTGACGACTGGAAAATACGAATGAGAGCACATCTCAGTGCTTTACATGATGAGATGCTTGAAGTAATTACTGATGGACCTATCAAAATAATGAAGGTCATCACATCCAGAACCACAGAAGGGACAGATGATGTGTACATTCCAAAACCCAAAATGGAATGGACAACTGAAGACAGGAAGAGAAACAATCTTGATAACATTGCCAAAGATATTCTCTTTAAATCTGTTGATGAATCCATATTTCCTAGAATCAGGAAATGTGAAACTGCAAAGGATGTATGGGATGAGCTCACAAAGATTGGAGCAGGGGATGAACAGGAAAAAGACAACAAACTAACCATAGCCCTCAAGAAATTTGAGGATTTCAAAATGATGACAAATGAATCTATCCATGAGATGGAGTCCAGATTCTTGAAGATAGTGGCAGAGGTCACAGACCTGGGGAAAGATCTATCCCAAAAGGAAATTTCCCTTAAAGTCTTGAGAGGCCTGCCATCAAAGTGGGACATGAAGGTAACTGCTATGAGAGATAGCAGAGATCTCAGAACTTTGTCAACCGACAAACTCTTCAGTGATCTCAAGGCCTATGAATTTGAAATGAAGGAGATAAAAGAAGAAAAGGAAGATGAATCCAAGACACTAGCTCTAGTTTCTGAGCCTGGCCCGTCAAGATCTAGTGAAAAATCCCTCAACAACCTCCTTACTGACGAGCAGTTCGCTATGTTTGTAAGGAAGTTTAAAAGGTTCATGAAAAAGGAGGGAACTGCTCCAAAAAGACCATACAATCTACCACCCAGGAAACAAGGGAGACCTCAAACCAACGAGGAAAATGTCCTGTGCTACAACTGTAGACAACCAGGACATTACAAAAATGAATGCCCTCTGCCCTTAGCCCAGAAGTATCAAGGGCAGCAGGGGACTGGTCCCAAAGCTGGTTATAAGAAGGACTTCAAAGGCAAGAGGCAAGCCTTTGTAAGTGAAAAGAAAAAGGAGGAACCCCAATCTGAAGATGAAAGCAGTTCAAGTGATGAAAGCTCTTCATCTGAAAGCTCAGAGGAAGCACTTCTATGCCTAGGATCCTGGCAGATGGCTGAAAAAGGCGGCAGCTGGCTCACTGAAGAAAGCAGCAGATGGCTCAGTGAAGATGATGAATACAGCTCCCCTAAATGCCTAATGGCCAAAGACCACTACAATGATATTGAGGAAGGTGCTGGAGCAGTTGACTCACAAACATGGTACATAGATTCAGGCTGCTCCAGGCACATGACAGGCAGCAGGCGGCTCCTGTCAAACTATATGGCAAGCAAAGGACCCAAAGTTACTTTTGGGAATGTGGAAAAACAAGGAGAAACCAAAGGAGCTGGAGACCTATCCATCAATGGACTTACAATCCAAAACATATCTTATGTTAAAGGGTTAAAGTTCAATCTCATAAGCACAAGCCAGCTCTGTGACAATGGCTATAATGTTACATTCTCCAAAGACATCTGCTTGATTAGAGATGTCAAAAATGACAAAACTGTGCTCACTGGTAGAAGAAAGAAGGACATGTACATCGTTGATTGGAGCTCAGCAAAGGAAGGGATCTGCTTGGTGACAAAGGCAGATTCAAATTTGAGTTGGGAATGGCACAACAAATTAAGCCATCTCAACTTCAAAACAATCAACAAATTGTCCAGAAAAGGATTGGTGAAAGGACTTCCTGAGATCAATTTCAAGAAGGACCATCTCTGTGATGCTTGCCAAAAAGGGAAACAAACCAAGGTATCATTCAAATCAAAGGAACTGGAATCATCAACTAGGCCCTTAAACCTACTACACCTTGACTTGTTTGGACCAGTTGAACCAACAAGTTTAAGTGGTAGAAGATACACACTGGTGATAGTTGATGATTATTCAAGATACACTTGGACCATATTCTTAAAGAAAAAGAATGAAACAGAGAAGAAACTTCCAGAACTGATGAAACTAATTCAAAATGAGAAAAGTCTCTCAATTCAGAAGATCCGGTCAGATAGAGGTACTGAATTCCTCAACTCTATAGTAATTCAGTACTGCAAAGAAAACGGAATCCATCACCAAACTTCAGCTGCAAGAACACCTCAACAAAATGGTGTTGCTGAGAGAAGGAATAGGACACTCAAGGAAGCCGGAAGGACCATCTTAGAAGCAGCTGGTATGCCCAAAAGATTTTGGGCAGAAGCAATCAACACTGCTTGCTACACCCAGAATAGAAGTCTCATTCATAAGACCTACAAAAAGACTCCATATGAACTATGGAAAGAAAGAAAGCCTAATGTTAGTCATTTCCATGTGTTTGGATCCAAATGCTTCATTCTAAACAATGGAAAAGACTATCTCAAGCCATTTGATCCCAAATCTGATGAAGGGATCTTCCTGGGCTACTCAGCAACAAGCAAGGCATTCCGGATCCTCAACAAAAGAACTCTGGTGGTAGAAGAATCAATCCACGTGGTTTTTGAAAATCACCCCACTGCTCAATCAAAAGAAGAAGGTGAGTCATCTAACTCAAAAAGGGACACTGGAAAGGCTCCAAGCTGCCTTCCAGGAAATGATAAAGAAAAAATAGCTGAATCTAATGTCAATCCACGGCCAGCAGTTGACTCAACTGTCAGCTCACTGCCAGCAGGTGACTCACCCACAAACATCCCTCCAGATCTTCATAAAATTCCTAATCACCCTACTCTACCAGAAGATAGTGACGAAGAAGAAGAAGAGGATGACCAACAAATTCAAACCAACATCAATCAGACATCTGACATTAGATGGCTGAATCAACATCCACCACAACTGATTATTGGAAACATCCATGAAGGGGTTCGTACTAGATCAGCAATTCAGAAAGAGGCACTATTCTCATGCTTCATCTCACAAATTGA